CATCCATCCATCCATCCATCCATCCATCCATCCATCCATCCATCCATCCATCCATCCATCCATCCATCCATCCATCCATCCATCCACCCACCCATCCATCCATCCATCCATCCATCCATCCATCCATCCATCCAACTTACCATCCATTCATTGCCTGTTTATGATGCAGTGTCTTGCCAGAATAATTTTGATGGCAAGCTAAAGATGGATAGTGCGTTTGTTAACATCAAGGCCAATCTGAATGAACCAATCAGTGTGCTGGGAATATCATCTAACTGTTACAAGGTAAGGAACATGTCACGGTCTTCTGTCTGTACCTCAATAATAAACACGTTTCAATAATCAGCATAGTGCTGTAAAGTTTGACGATTCCATGTTCTATGGCTTCTCCCCCCTCTTATTCACTTGGAAGTGTGACGACAGATCTGTCTAGATGGCGCTCCCACGAGCCTGCCTGAAATATAGAAACATGATGGTCGTTGTTGTGATGACCGGGTTCTTATGCTTATATTGTAGTGCCCGCTACAGACACTTCATTCTGATGTCATCACAAGTGCAAATATAACCGTTCCAACTCACTATGACTACATACTGGTTATCTCTACAAGAAACGACTCAAGATCATGCAGGTTAGTTGTCACTTGTTTCAAGGTCGATTCACACGATACAATGTTTCCTCGCAACTGTCGCACGCAAAATCCTGAAGACACGCATTGCTTCGTTTAAATCGACCATACAAGACTTGCTTATACGTTGGCCCATAAGGGACATGCAGCAAGAGAGACGAGTTGCTACATATAAGAAACGATTTTCTGCATGTTAGACGAGTTGCTGCATTTTAGACAAGTTTGCTGCAAATAAGAAAAAAAGGTTTCGGAGCTCCTGATCAAATTTGGAGAAATCGCATGTTATTTGCGATACTTTTCCTGGTGAGTCAAAATCTAAGTTTTTCCACATCAAGATTCAATTCCAAAAATGAACTGAAAATACTAGTTTCCAATTGTAGCCTTTCAGGGTCTTCCATTTGTTATGATAGAAATACATTGTAGAAAGATAGAGGAAGGAGAAGGAGGGAGGGAGGAGTGGGTGGGATGATATGCCGAACCTCCATCTTGCCGGCCATCGCTATATAGGCACTCCCTCCCTACGATCATAATGGCAGTAACAAACTTTTCCCGATAACTCGTGAAGGTCTTATGTATTGCGCGCTTCTAGTTTAAGGTATCTGTATGGGGAATATGGCTGGTATGAGTATACAGTACACAGAGACAACCAGGGGAAAATATCATGTGAACTTAAAGTGACAAAAGAACCACACAATGCTTATATACGTGAGTGAATAGTCTTTATTATACCAGCAATCAGTTATTCGCTTGCCCTTCCTTTAGCAACTGCGCATCAGTTTATTGGCGCCTATAAAACACAGGAAGCCCAGCAAAAGGTGAGGAGGGTCCTACCAGTATCTGCACCACAACATTGACACGATAATTTGTTTTGCTTGATTCTTATTTCAGTTGCCAACAGTCCAACAAAGCAAATTGACTAAACCTATTGCAAAAAAAAACAAAAAACAAAAACAAAAAAACCAACTCTTTGCTCCTTACATCCACAAATATAGTTAATAGTAATGTAGCTCATGACTAGAAGCGTAACTAAAATGCTTTTTCCCCCTAGCGATCCTCGTGGCTTTCATTGTGCTTGCTGTTCTTGCTGTGTTGTGGGTCATCTACTCGTTCAATCAAGAGTAAGTCAGTATGAAGTCACCGAATGTCACGAGTTACGTTACTCGCAGACCCGTCCACGGAAAGCGCGCACACGCCTATTTTTCATTTCATTTTATTTATTTTTCTAGAAAGTGTTCAGCGTGGTGTAGAAGACGCTTTTCGAGTTCTTCTGACGTAAGTAATCATTTGCCCTTCCTGCATATATTTGATTGGTTAACAATACAACCAATCAAATGATAGATATCATTAGTTTTTTTCCCTTTAGGAAAATGAAGCACAAAGAGAAGAACTTCCCAGGGAGGCAGTGGTGAGGAATACTACTCGTCTAGATATAAAGTTACAGATTTCATTGTCTTTGCTTTTGCTTTTACTGGTCTTAACAAACATGATGAATTGTCGCTTAGGTCCTTCATGAGTCTGGGTCTGTTGAGCGCAACACCACTGTCCACGCTGTTCAAGTAAGTACTGGATCTTGATAACATACTGAGATTTAGAACATTTATAGTATACATTTATACATTTATAGTATGAATAAAAATAACTGCATTACGGTACACGGTAACGGTACGAACGACATTCTTTAAATCGATCAAATCTACAAACTCAAAATTGTATCCGTGGACAGAGTTTTTTTAGGGTCACACTCACTGTCCCATAAATTTAACTTGTTATGAGAGGGCTGTGCGCATGCATAAATCGTTTCTCCTCTCGACCAATCAAAAGACGTTTTTTTTTTGTCTAATCGCATTACTTTAACCCATCACGTGACCTGACCATATACGGTATGAATGGACTAAAGCCATTAATTCAATTTTTTGCATTAGATCGAACCACAACCTGATAAACCGACGAGAAAGCGTCTTAAATCTTTAGATACGTTTAGAGGGTAAATAAAACCAGACATGTCATCTATAATATATATCTAATTATGTTCAATGTAATACCTTTGAAAAACGTGTTTGGGGTAATGTTACTTGAGTGGCGTACAACAACGCACTCTCATTCTGTTGTGAATCAACCCGGCGCGGGTTGAAATTAGGTATTGATGATTTTTACAGCCGCCATGTTGGATGAATTTAACAAAAGATTTTTCATTAGTGTCTTTTATTATATCATCCAACATGGCCGCCGTGTCTTTTGTTATTTCATTCTCTTGTAAATGATTGAAAACCAGCAATTCTTCATATAGTACAGTATTGTAATTCGTATCCATGTTTACGCAGGATTGCAATCACAGTCATGATTTTTGTCAACTTTGGCGGAGGTGGATATTACTTCTTTGAGCATGCTGTATGGAACGGTAACACCAATTGCATTTTAGTCTTGGGCAGAATATTTTATTCTCTCATTCACTCGTTCTTGGTGATATCCTAGGCTTGCTGTTGGCGGATGTCGTGTTTCCTTGGTTCATATGGATCATGGGTGTGTCAATAACCCTTTCATTCAAGTCCATCAGAAGAAAGAAGATGAAATCTTCTCGTGTCCTGGTCAAGATCATTCGTCGCAGCATTATTCTCTTTGGCCTCGGCGTCTTCACCAGCAACTGTAGGTCTCAAAAAATATTTATCTATGAATATAAACTCGATCTTTCAATAAAAATAATGTTCATGGCTTCAGGTGGTATGAGAGGCAAGTAGTTCAACTTCCAAAAACATATTTTATTATCCGCCATTATTTGATATGTCTCCAGTATAAAAGGTGTAAAAAATTTCGTCTTCTACCCTACGCTTGTTCAGTAAAATGAAGTGGTAAATTTATTAATGTAACATTGGTGTTCCCCTAACAGTTAATGATCTAAAGACGTACAGAGTTCCCGGCGTCCTGCAGAGGTTTGGTGCTTGTTATTTCGTGGTTGCCGTAATGCAGCTGTATCTTCCACCACGCGAGGAACAACCCAAGGTAACGCAGCCATGCTAAATACAAAGAAATATCCATTCACCATGAAACAATGCCGTGCCGTGACCGTAACTGGTCGCTGTCATAGCGCTTTTATTGGCTAAACGACAATCTTGTGCTCTGTGATTGGCTCAACGGATGTCGTAAATTATGAACCATGACCGTACCGTGACCGTCACACTAGAATCTATGATGCAAAGTATTTTTAGTGAGTCTCAATCTTGCTTCGATGCACCCACACATTACGCGTATATGTTAACTAATTTTCAAAGTGTACTATTGCGTCATACTTATCACTATTGATCTTAATCTTGATTAGCAGCGATGGTTGGTTCCATTTCGTGATGTGGTCTCCCTGTGGAAGCAGTGGCTTGTCACGTCTATAATACTCATCATTTACCTGATCGTTACCTATGGATTGAAAGTTGAGGGATGTCCAAAGTATGTAACGCCTATTTCTATCATTGTTTTAACAGATCGATTCCTTCGTGCCACAGGGTTCCCAGACGGGTATTTACAACAGATTTCGTACTACAGTTCTGATTGGCAGGTCTACCTGTTTCTAACATCATTTCATTTGTACCCATCTTTTTTGTCACATGACCGAGCTGGATTGAGAGCATCTTTTGTACTTTTGAAGTGCGCAATGTGTAAATGATGGTAACCCGTACTTGTCGTTGTATTGCAGGGGATATACTGGTCCCGGAGGTACAGGGGAGGGGTACCCTCTCTCTAGCCACTGTACCGGGGGAGTAGCCAACTACATCGACAGGGAGTTCTTGGGGAGACACATCTATCAATACCCTACCGTCAAGGTAAAGTATTCCATTAAAATTAAACAAAATACCGCAAGAATGCGTCTTTGAAGAAAGATGTACGCCGCTCAATTCATGCATGATTCGTATTTTTGTATAATTGATATATAGCATTTGTACAAGACCACGATCCCCCATGACCCTGAAGGATGTCTTGGTACACTTACGTCTATTGTTCTTGTGTTCTTTGGCGTACAGGTGAGCCAAACGACATCACATCTATTCGTGTTTTTTTTAGACTAGAAACACCTTATGTGTTCATATGTATGTGGGACCTCGCCTCCCTTGGTTGAGCCCACGATCTTATGTATCACGAGTTCTTCCTTTGAACTTAGAAAAGGCGAATTTCTCGAWACAGAAACGATTGGGAGACTAAGTACTAATCTGCTGTTTGGTCAAAGCTAGAGTGGGCAAAGCATTTGGGTAGACAGGAATCGGTTCTATATTCTATTTTACTATTTTTAACATGAAAAATATATATAATAATAATAATGAAAATTTTAAAAAATGGGGAAAAAAGCTTAAGTAGGTATAATATTTAGGTCACCCATCCAGATTTTAACCCCGCTCTAACGGGCTTGACTGTATCTTGAATGCCCAAGTTTTTTCCAATGGACCACGGTTTCAAAACATTAGCATAACAATATCCGCGAAAACAATGCATCGGATAGACTAGACTTTTTAACATTAGTTTTTCAACCGATTCCGTGCGTGGCAGAGATGCAAGGGATTAGCCGATATGGTCTGGGGGCCGGCTGGTCTCTCCCCTGATGCTTCGACTAGAACATTTTCTTGCGTAATTCGTACACCCAAGGGCAGAAGGATTTAATCGCCGTCAGGTCCGAAGTCCATACGACGCCCCAGCTCTGCGGATGTCTCGGGGGTATGGCAAAGTTGGAATCGATTTTTCTCTCTCTTTTTTTTTTTTTCATTTTTGGCTTAGGTTCGAACCCCACTCTGTCCAAATATGTATTTTTTATTTTTTCTTCTTTGTAACAAACCCGTAACGTAACGTTGTTTTTTTTAATGTTTATTTTCCTTGTATWTTTTTTTTCATTATTCGATTGGCATCATCATTTATCCCAATCGAATCGAGTTGTGCTTTCCTAGTTTGAAATACTTCCTGGGAACATTCTAACAGGACGTTCTTCTCCACGGGTTCACTTTCTCGACTATTTTGCTATGCTTTCTGTTTATATACTGTCTACCCACTATGCCCAGTAGGGCTCTCGTGTACTTCAGTGGCACACAATTAAATATTTATATGATACTGAAATAAACTGTTTGCTCGATGATCAGGCTGGTCACATTCTGCACACCTATCCTGATCACAAATCAAGAATCATTCGATGGACTATCTGGGGAATTCTGCTCGTAAGTAACAACATTGACAAGTATGTGTCATCATATCCGCCAATCAGAGCGTAGCGCTCGAATCTTTCCAACCTTTCACTTGGTCCCGGTATTGGGTCTTGGTATAAATAGTGAATGTGACATTTTTTTACAAATCCTTTTTTTTGATTGACATGCAGGGAGTGATAGGAATAGGACTGTGTGGTGGTACACAAGATGGAGGACCAATCCCAATCAACAAAAATCTGTGGTAAGTTCCAAGTTTGATTACTCAAAAAACACACAAGTCATCTATAGTATCTTCAAAGTCCTCACAATCATCCCTATCGTCCCTATCGTAACTACCGTCACTACTAGCCGAGATTAGGAGCAGAAGCCAAACAGCTGTCCTTTCCCCTTTTCATAAACTGTGTGTAAATATAACTCTCCCCCTTTATCAGATTTCCTGGTTCCTCCTCGACGTTATCGTCACTGTTACATAAAGAAACCTGTTTTCATTCATCATCAGGTCTTTGTCTTTCATTTTGGTTACTGGGGCAACATCATTCATTCTTCTGGTCATTTGTTACGTCTTGACAGACACATATGGTTGGTGGAATGGAGCGCCTTTCTTTTATCCAGGTTGGTATCTTGGTAACATGACATCTGACCCCCCTTTATACGTTGGCCCATTAGGGATATGTAGCAGTAAAATGACATCTGACCCCTCTTTATACGATGGCCTATAAGGGACATGCAGCAAGTTAGACGAGTTGCTAAATTTGAATTCTAAATTTGAGGTGAGCCGAGTTCTAGAGGAGCTTGGTCTAGCGCTGTGATTGGATCAGAGAATGTCGTGACATCCGTGACGTTAGAGTTCCTATGGCTTTCGAATTCAAGCGCTAAGTTGAAGAAGTGCGTTTACTTGCTTACCATTCGAGTGCCACGGGACCCATAGATGTTCGTCGATCCCATACTTCTTATTTAGTCAAGCATGCGCAGTAAGAAGGACAGATGCTGTGCGTCTCACCATTTTCTCTTTTTCAACAGGCATGAACTCCATCCTGTTGTATGTTGGACATGGAATTCTTTACAACAATTTTCCATTCAGCTGGAAAATACATAATGATGAAACACATGCCGAGAAGCTGTCCATGAATCTGATTGGAACAGCCTGCTGGCTCCTCATCTCTTTCTACTTGTTTCAAAAGAAGTTTTTTCTCAAGATTTAGTTTACATTAGAGTCAGATGTCTCATAAGTTTCCATAAAAACCACTAGTTTCTGGTTCAGTTCACAGGGGGCGTACCCAACCTTTTGCAAAGAAGAGGGTGCCCCTCTATATAAGTCAACATATATCTTGCTTCATATCATTAGTGCCTGATCATGCTTTATTTAGCTCAGAGGGTAGTCAGGACAGAAAGTAGGATTCTTATACTCATATAATGTTTTATATAATCTTTCATAAACAATATGTAGTATTTCAATAACGAGTAGGAGTGTTTTATCAGGTATAAAAGCACGAGGCGTAGCCGAGTCATATAACAACGTCATATACCAATGGACTAAGTCGAACAACAACCTAGACCAAACCATTGCGCTCCAGTAACTATGTATTCGATTTCGACCCGGGTTATTCGATCTT